GTATATATCATAGATTTATCAAATTTTTCTCTTTCCATCTCTAATTGCCAGTGTCTGTTCCCATCTCTCTGGCTCATTTCTATTCTTTTCGTGTTCTCTCTTTCTGTTTTTGTATATGGAGCTTCTTTTACATATCATTTAAAGTCTCCTTTGCATTTTGTAAGTGTCGAAGCTGTCTTCTTTCTACACTCAACTATACATCTCTGCCTGTCTTTATTCTGTCACTCTTTCTCTCTCTCTCTCACTCCCGCACTCTGTCTCTCTCTCTGTCTTTCTGTCCTTATACCCATTATAAGTTTTATATTGTATTCTTTCTCTCTTTCTATTAGTTTTTCTTTCCACCCCTCCTTTTTTTCTCTCTCTCTCTCTTTCTTTCTCTCACACCTATACATGAACTTTTGGGCGCATTTTCTACTAATTAAGTTCTATTTCTTCCCATCATCGAACGCAACTTTTCCATCTGCACTGCGCCCACTCTGCACCGATCCCCCGTCTCCAATGCCTCTATGCTCCATGCTCCACACGCTTCTCTCTCCTCTCACCTTCCCGCTGCATCGCTCTACATTTGTAATGAAATCATTTCAGTTCATTGGCGCTCCCCTTGTAACAAAGTTTATTGTTGTTGTTGTTGTTGCTATTGCTTGTGCGTTGTTTTTTCTTGACTTTTGTTTTTTTCGCTTTTCTGAACGCATTTTTTTTTTTTTTGCAGATTGCACAATTTTCTGTTCTGTTTTCAGTTCAGTAATTTTGAGTTTGTTGTTGCCGCTTGCTGCTGCTACTGCTGTTGTTGTTGTTGTTGTTATTGTTTGTTGTTAATACAAATTGATGTTGATCTATTTGTTGTTGTCTTTGTTGTTTCTATGTTTATCATTGTTGCCGACCGCTGATTGCTTTTTAGAAAGTGTGAAAGAGTTTTGTATCATATGTACTCGTGAGTATATATAGACATGGATATACATATATAGGTATCTATGTGTGTGTTCAGTTCAGTTTTGCATTGGAATTGTGTGCAGTCTGTGCGTACCTTTAATTGAGGTAGGTAATTATTGATTGGCTTCGTTTTATTCTGGGAAAGGGCGAAAGCGTTTAGCAGCTGCTCTGTGATTGAATGTGAGTCAAGCTGAGCTTCAGAGCTAGGCAGAATTGAAAATGAAATGGTCTCAGCTTGGTATTTATGTATTAACTTACAACTTTCCCTAATATATACATATAAATTAAGTATGAAGCCAAAGAATAATAAAAAGAATGTAACAGTAGCATATTAGTAACATATTAATAACATATTCCATAATCCACTAATACTATTAAGTAATGCACATAATATTGTTTAAATAAATAATATTATTAGCTATTCAAATATTTACTAGAGCTGCGCACTGCCCAAGTGATCAACAGGAGATGAGGCCTCAGACGGACGAGGCTCTGCAAAAGGTTTGCTTTTATATACGAAGGAATCCCCTCAAACGAAGCCGTCGAGCATTGAGTGACATATATGAGCATTTTCAGTTGCTTCAATCATTCAAGGTTACATTCTTATAAATATAGAGAATACTTCTGCTCACACAGCTCTACAGTCCCCTCTTTCATAGAACTTTTTTTAGAGGCCCGCTCAATAAAACATATTCTTTCAAGGAGAAATATAGAGGCAGACAGAGAGACAACAGGAAAGTTCTACATACTATTACGGCATTAAATATAAACCAAATTGATCCTTTAAAAAATATATATGTATATGTGCTTTTGAAACGCTCAACACATGCTTATAGAAAATTTAACTAAACAAAAGTAAAGCCCACATTTTTGTGGTCCAACAAATCAATTATTAATTTCCCTAATCAATTTTCTACTTTTCCATTCATTTCAAAGAAAATTTAAATTTAATTTAAAATTTTCTGCATAAGCAATAATAATAGCAATAATTAAATTAAAGTTTCAAAACTCTCTTTCATTTAACAGCTGCAAGCTGCAGTAAAAAGTAGTAGCTATTTGCAGCACGACAACACTGCGCAGCGCTTAACAGAAAGCTCTCGGCAAGCTTACAGCGCGCTAGCTGTTAGAAATATCTACCTCTATTAAACGTGCAGCGGACTAAACTTACATTTAATTAAAAATATCTAAAATTTAATTAATGAAATTAAAGCTTAATTTACTTAGACAGCTGTATTATGTCTATGGATTAGAGCCTAACGAGAAATGTCGGCAGGAAACTGGTTTTAGCAGAGGTGCAAAATGCGCATATAATTTGCCAATAACAAAATCGAATTTGTTTGCTTTTTGTTTGCTTTTTGTTATTATGAAATGGCAATAAATGTTATTATTGTTGTTGTTGTTGTTTGCATTGTGCTTGGCTGTCAAATAAATTACGTTGCAAAAAAGCATATGGAAACTGGTTGTATTTGACTTTGGAATTGATTCTATATGTGCGAAATGAAACTGGAATTTGTCGTGTGGGCTCCGAATGCTGCTAAATGTAGTTCAATGTCAAGGAAATTGCCGCAGTGCGAGCTCGAGTGGGCCAAAGTGGGTTAAGGTGGGCCAAAGTGGGTCACGCCCAGCGACTGTGACAAGTTAAGGGCTCCAAATGCAGCGCCCATTTAAGCCAAATATGAAGAAAGGCCATTACAAGCCGCCTACGAATCAAATATGTGACACACTGAGCGAGCTCGCATTCGAGTCGAGCTCAGTTCAGTTCGATATTGACGCATTTGTCGAACATTAGTTAAAACGAGCACGAAATTCACAGACGTGACGCGACTTGAAAATCTAATCAACGCTCGAATTCTGTCAGGCGCTAGATACATATAGACATACAAAATTTAATATTTCAAGAGCTATTTATGTTATTGATACATGTGTATGTATTTGTTATATTTAGCTGTTTCAATTTTAAATACTATTTGGGATTTTATTATAAATTGACTAACATTTGCTAAATATGTAAGACTAATTTTTATAGTCTTATCGAATTTCGCATCAGTTGTCTCAAAGCAATTTGATTTTATATTTATTATAAATACATATATATTTTTTCACAATGAATAAATTTTCAAGATATATTTAAGTAAAAGGTAAAAAATATTGTAAATAATAAATATTGAAATTATTTATTATACTATTATTTATTATACTATATTTTATTATATATAAATATTGAAATTATTTATTATACTTTATTTATAAATTTTAAATTTTACATATCTACAATTTTCGCCTTTATCCACTCTGATAACTGTCTCGTCTCTCACTTTCTTGATTAATTAATTAATTAATTTTTTTTTTTTTTTGTATTGTCTTAAATTAAAACAATTTAAAATTCTCTTTAAGTACATTCTACGTAAAATAAAGAGCTTAAGTTCAGTAAATTGTGAAATGAAACTCTATTAAATTGCCTCGGTATTTAGCTGCCTTTTTTTGGCAGACTTTTATATTTAATTTAATTAAAATGAATTTATGTCAATTTTGGCAGCTTTAAATGGAAATTGACATAGTTAGAAATGTCATCGTTCTTGTTCAATTGTTGTTGTTGTTGTCGTTTGCTTGGCTTCGTATTTTTTTTTCTTTTCTGCGATTTTTTACTGCGCATTGTTTTTGTATTTTTTTTAAATGCCTCCCACGTTTGGTGTTGCTTCTGCATTTCCATTTTTTCTTCTGCCTCTTCCCCTTCTCCTTCGACTTGGACTAAACAAACAAAATAATTCGCATTCGCGTCTGATGTCATGCGATGTGCAAAACTCATAGAAAGTTGAGCGGCGCAACAAATGTTATTAAGTTTGTTCAAAACTTTAACAATTGATTGCGAACATTGGGCCGTGGAATGCGTAAAGCGTTGTAAAATGATTGTAAAGTGAAACGAGCCAAGTCTGTGAATCCAGATATCTACATATGGTAGGAGACTAAGCCACTTGCTAATCTAGTTGATGGGGGAAAGAAAAGAGTAGATATCTAAAGAGAGACTTGATTGAAATGCTTAAAGCGCTGCTTGATTTAATCAAAAAGATTAATCTAGAAAATTCAGTAGAAAAATAAACTTAATATGTTGTACATATTCTAACAAGACTCCTACAAAAATTATTTAATTTATTATTTTATACTATTGTAAACGTTTTATTTAAAACAAGAAATTACAAAAAAAAAAAAATCCTTTAAAAACCACTTTCAAAAGTTTAATATTATTATTACAAGTTATAAAACTTTTTTTCAACATTTTCCATATGATATAAATTTTCCGTTAGCTTCTATTCTATTCTCAGCACGTTTATCATTTCATGTTTTGTCATTTAAATAGAGATATTGATTTTCATTTTCCATTTCCCATTTCCATTTCCTTTGGTGTTTAAGAATTTCGAGTTTAATTGCCTTTTAAGTGCCTACGAATTCATTTGGAATTTTAAACAATTTTCTTTTTTTATAGAGTTTTGTCAGCGTTCGTGCGGCTTCCTTTGTTTGTCATTTTAATGAAGGCAAGGCAACAAATTAATAATAATAATAAAAAATGCCGAGTCCACTTAAAAAAAAAAAAACAACCAAATTATATATAATTTTGTATATATTTTTTCCATATATTTTATATATATATATATATGTATATTTTTTATACCCTGAACCCATTGAAAATGGGAAATCAGGGTATAATGGTTTTGTTAAAATGTATGTAACAGGCAGAAGGAGGCGTGGCAGACCCCACAAAGTATATATATTCTT